TGAGTCAAAGATTAGATTTACCTCTTTTACAGCTGCAGCTTCTTTGTCTTTTATAAATACTACTGGGGGTACATTTCCTACAATCTGCTGACTCTTCAGAAGATACCTGGCAAAAAACACAGCATTCACCAGCATGAGTTATCAGTATATTATCTCCACGACAAGCAAAAGGTGTTAAATTAAATCCAGCAGTACTGCACATTTAAAGATATGGCTTGCAAAACTTTCAAAAACTTTCAAAACGCCTGATGATGAGCTATTCAGGTTGATGCAAAACAATATATCACTGCAGAGCTCCAACTTCGAATGCATGGCATACAAAAACTACTGGCTACAGGTCCAGCTGAGTATTGATGATAGCAGATTTGTCCATATCGGTATACATAGGCTGGCACAGGTCTTTCCCCACTTCATCTGGTATCCTTATCCCCTCTGTAGGGATAAGAGCAGTGGGGGATACAGCCTTCACAGCAGGGCAAGACAACCTATCCTACATGCTAGCTGCAGGAAGGATTGACAGGGGTCCACTTCTCTTCTTCCTAGCCATCAACTTTCCTTCTTAAAGAGTGGAAGCTGTGGAATAGAAGAGAGCATTGTGCTGGAGCAGGAATTACACAGCTTAGGGAAACAGGGAAAGGAAACAGCTTTATAAGTATGCTTCTATGCCACCTGCCACATGGGTGAAGTCCTGAATTTCCAACAGACTGGCTGGATAGCAGAGGGAAGGCCAAGGAAGGGGGGGAAGAAACAAAAATCTCAATGCTACCATGAAAAATCACTGGACTCTGTGTTGGAAAAATGGGGAAAAGCATCACAATATATGGTATAGCATTCTCAATTTGGGTTTTTTTTTGCTATCAGTATTGTGAAGAATTTCTGTAATAACTCATCCCTTCTGGAAGCCCAAATCATCCCTAGCAATCAGAACTTCTCAGTGAATGTGCAAGGAGATCCTTGCAGCTGTCAGTCCTGTGTACAGCATCCTGTCCTGAACTACTCTCCTGTACAGCCTGTCCAGCCACCACCACCAGGATACTGGAGTGAGACCTCACCCACACTCCTCTTGCTTTCTGCTCAGCCCACTCCTGTCCTGGGAAAGCACAGAAGCCAAAAAAGCCAGCTATGCTCCAACAAAAGTTCACACAGCTGGTCGGACACAGCCACCCTTCCCTGTGAGGCTCATCACAGGAGATGCTCTACTCCAAGTATCTAAAAACCTAAAGCATCCCAACAGGTCAGGTCTAGACTGTCAGAAGTACTTAAGAAATGGCTCTGGATGTAGGAAGGGGTCTATCCCACAGCAGTACCGTATACGTGGAGCACTCTTTCGCAGCACACTTTCAACGTAACTTTCCTTCTCCATAGTGGAAGTAGGATTCCAGTACACACGGCACGCTGAAAAGTTGGATGACAGGGACACCTATAGAAAAGGCAAATCTGTCTTTAAAATTATATATATATATATAAATATATATATATGTACACACACACACACCTCATATGCAACAAAGTCTGTGATGGATTGCAGAAAGCCTACTAGAAAATGTCTTCTGACAAGAGAAGTGACGGTATCAGACCAGAATGAGTTAATTAGTAAATCGGGATTGATCTATGCCCAGCCATGTCCCAGTGCAGCACAAACACTGTGCAGCTGTAAAATCTGTACTGTATTAGGAAGAAGTCTGTTTCTTTCCCTCTCCAATGTTATAAGTTGTTTAATTTACAGCAATGCCTCCTGAAAGAACTGTCTTGCCCACACCAGCCAGCATTTTTACATGCAAACATGCGATCTGAGACAAGCAATCCTCAAAGCCCTAGAGAGACAGAACTACTCTGTGAAGGATACTGCACATATACAGCGAAAACACTCATCTTGCCCATGTAGTTTTGAACACTTGCCTGACAACAGAATTAATTCAGCTGGCAAAAACATCTATTTTAGTCATGAATGACAACCCTTTTGTCATGAGGTACCATTTTCCATGCTTCTAATATCAAAGCAAAGTCCACCAAGCTTTTAAGCCAAACAGTGGTATAATTTAATCTTTACAGAACAGCAAATGTAGAAGATAGACTGCAGACAACAAACAAGAATGCAGAGACTGACTTAGTTCCTGTATCAGAACTCTAACATCCTTTTAAAATCCACAATTTATGATACCACTAGATACAATTACATACAAATCTTAATTCTTTCTCAGATCTGGCTTGACAATGACATTTTCTTAGGCTTGGCCTTTTTTTTGAACTAATCTCATGCATCACTTTAGTCTTCTGCTGGGGAGTGACACAAGCAGGTGACAACTGTCACACAGCTGCAAGAAGAACAATCTTGGAAAGATACACTTATGTTGGTAAAACCAAGCTCCTCCTTCTGAAAGGGCAAGACAAAGAGTTTATGTCTGAGTAACAGAAAAAAAAGTCATATAAGGAGAATCACCATTTAATTGGTCTGAGTTGCATTTGCATTAGAGTGGCAAAGGTCTCCTAAGCCAGGTACTACAGTGGCAAAGCTGTGTATTCCAGTGCCTGATCTTGCTGCACTCTTCCACATCAGAAGCAATGCAGCAAAATTCCTCTTGCACGCATCACAACACCCAGGGGAGCTCCTTTGGCACATCCATGCCAACCTCAAAATGTGGCTCAGCACAAACGGTAGCTTTGGCACTTGCCTTGCAGATTTCCAGCTTGAGATCATAAAATTCTTGACTGACTTCACAGGTAGTTGCCATCTCTAACACAGCTTTATGAATAAGAGTATTCAAGACTCTGCACCGCGTGTTGTCTTCTCTCCTTGTTTTTGTAAGCTCATTTTTCATTAAAAAGTCCAACTTGGTTGGTTTATAGAACTATAAAAATAAACAAACAACACATTAAACAGTAGTTACACTTGTATATACAGTTTCATGCACTTTACTAAGTGCATTCTTATTTTGCTATTATATAAATATATATATTTGCTATTATATATATATATAAATATATATATTCGCTATTATATATATATATATAAAGCTGTGATGGTTTTATATAGGTCCTACTTATCAAGTGTTTCAATAAGGAATATTTCTGTTCACAAAATCTTTGACATATGTGTACTACAGTCAAAGTTTCTGAAGTTCTTTTTGTATTTTGTAGCAAGTTATGAAGCTCCATAGAACTGCTTTCTCAATACAGCATGCATTGACTGAAAAGCTTTGCTTGTTTAAAAAAACAAACATTAAAAAATTTTTCATTAAACTAAGCTCATAGAAATTTTAATCTGGATCAGCACTCAGGAGTGTGCAAGAGAGCATTGATGTTGGCAAGGATGAAAGATCTGTACAGAAGAGGAAACAGCCATGGGAAGCCAAATGGCAATCCTGTCACGGTCAGACTGGAGCCCTACTGTTTGTTCACAAAATCCTGCTATTTCTCCATCAGAAAATGCTTCAAAGTTAGAATCAATGGCAAAAACACAAGTCTGTTCCTCCTGGCACAAATAAACATATTGCATTCAGTGCTTGCACTTACCGTTTGTGATCCCAGGGTAGGGCTGTCATACCAGAACTTCTTTCTTTTGGGAAAAGGAAAGGAAATCAGCCTTGTCTTTCAGTAGCTCAGAGAAATAAGGATCCCCTGTGTAATTTATATTCCACCTGCCTGAAAGGAGACTACAACACCCATGCAAGTACCTCTCCTCACAGCTGGGGTGCGGGGAACAATGATTCCCATCCACAGCTGAAGCTGCACATAGATGGGAAGGGGGTGGAAAAGAATAGCTCTCAGGTTTCTTTAGATTCAGAGAATCATTAAGGTTTGAAAATAGGGCTAAGACCAAGTCCCACTGTTAACCCAGCACTGCCAATTCCAGCACTAAACCAGGTCTGTAAGCACCACTTCTACACGTTTTCTAAACAGTTCCAGAGTCAGTGATCACACTACTTTCCTGGGGATCCTATTCTATTGCTTGACCATTCTTCTCTTTCGGGTTAGAAATGTCTCCCAATATACAATCGAAATGTCCCTTAGTGCAACTTGAGGCCATTTCCTCTTGTCCTGTCGCTTGTTTCCTGGGAGAAGAGACCGACCCCCACCAGGCTACACCCTCCTTTTAGGCAGTTGTAGAGAGTGATAGGGTTCCCCCCGAATCTCCTTCTCTCCAGGGCGAACAGCCCCAGTTCCCTGTCACAGGCCTCCTGCTCCAGGCCCTTCGCCGCTGCCCTTCAGTGGACATGCTCCAGCACCGCAATGTCTTTCCCGTACAGAGGGAAAGTCCAGAACTGGACACGGCACTCGAGGCGCGGCCTCACCGGGGGCAGAGCACAGAACAATCAGTGCAGGACACACTCCTGCTGGCAGAGGCCAGGGCCATGGGCCTTCTTGGCCACCTGGGCACACGTTCGGCCGCTGCCGAGCAGCTCCGATCGGCGCCTCGGGGCCGGTGTCTCTCCTCCGCGGCCCCGGCCCCGGGGGAGCGCCCGAGCCCCGCAGCTCCCCTTACTGCCCTTGCCCAGCGCCCACGGCCCACGCGGCACTCCGGGATGCCCCCGCTCCCGCCGGCCCCGCGCCTACTTATTCTTGCGAAGCATTTTCCGCAGCAGGTTCCTGGGGCCGCCCAGCCCTGCGGAGCTGCGCAGGGCCCGGCAGCACAGCGGCCCCGCGGCCGCCCGGGCGGCCCACATCGCTGCCCCGGCCCCGGCCCGCCCGGCAGCCGCGCCTCGGCTCCGGCTGCGGCTCCCCCTGTCGGCACGGAGGCCCGGCCGGCTGCTGGGGGCGTCCCGGCCGGTCCGGAGGCGGAATGAAGAGGGAAGGAGGGACGGGGGCCGAGCCGCCCTCAGGCTGCCCCCGGCGCTCCCGAGGTCGGGATTGCTGCTGGAGCCGCTCCGACACGCCGGCTGAGCTCGTGGCTGTGCCGGGCGGCCCTGCTAAGACACGATTTACGTGTCCTTCAACTCGCTGCTGCATCGGCGGACAGCTGTAAGGGGATGCGAGGAAAGTAAATGACACCGAAGCAAGACTGCTCTGGAGCTTTTCCATTGAATATCAAGACAAAACACTGCAGTTTTCCATACAGAACCACTGCTGGGTATTTAAGTAAATTGCACCTGTGCTTTGTATATTTTATCTGCATAACACGAAATTGCACGAAATAATTACGTGAAAAGTGATCAAATTGCTCTTTCTGCACTGCTGGCATTAATCCTAAATGCAAGCTGCTTTAGGGCAGCACCTCACGAGGGATAGGAAGACCTGCCAGGCCTGCCTCTATGCTTTCTGCCATTTCCTCCATCATAACCCAGCGTGTCTTCTTGGTGGCACTTCCAATGTGAGGAGTTATTATAACATTCTTCATCTTTAACAAGGGGTGATCCCTGGAAGAAGAAAAGAAATGCTGAACTAGTCATTCACAGCACATTCATCAGTATTTCATCAGTATTGCAGGCCACCAGGGAAAATAATAATTAAAAATAAAACAAAACCTAATTGCATGACCCAAGTATATTCAGAGGAGTTCAAAGTTCTGCCTAGCTTGGTTTTATATAAAACCCCAAGCTTGGGGTTTTACGCAACAAATCCTCCAAATGAGTAAGTGTGAATTTTATTTGGCTGGAACAGGATTAAAGACATGATTTCAGCAGGACTAGTGCACATACTTCATGTACTTCTACTAACAAAATTATGCAACTTCTCAGATGCTCACAAAATTTTACTCACATGTACACTCTAGTTTGAACATCACACATACACCCTTTTATTTTTAACTTAAATGTATGTCTTACCTTGGCAAAGGTTCAGGATATGTCACATCCAGAGCAGCTGCCTTAATAACTTTGTTTTGGAGGGCTTCCACCAAAGCATCCTGATCCACTACTAGACCTGGGGTACAGTAAGAAGGATGTGTTTATTTTCATGTTCATTTCTGTCCTCTCAGTATTCTTTTGGGCACAGTGGTCAGGCAAACAGGAGGGCAGGCCATAGTCACAGTGCAGAAGCAGCAGTGGAGTGTGGTAGTGTGGGAGTGGGAAGCCTGGGTATGTGCATCAGGGAACTAGCAGCATGAAACAGAGCACCAGGCATCCGTGTAGGCTGTGCCACCCTAATGTGTATGAGCAACAACACTGTGTTAAATAAACAAAAGGTGATATATAAATACACATGGGTTTTTAACACTCTAAGGTCACTAACATTTCAGAGACCTACTTTCTCATTATTATGGGAACAGTTAAATATTTTACTGAGATATGACCATGGGTGTCTAAATAAACTAATAATCAGAAAAAATACAGAAAAAAATCAGAGGGACAGACTATATTAGAGGTTTTCCCAGGACTTGTCATGCCACCAAACTTTAATGAAGTTTTGTTTATTCTGCACCTTACCTCTGCTGATATTAATAAGAATAGCAGTGGGTTTCATCAGCTCCAGCTCCCTCTTCCCAATCAGTTTGTGTGTCTGTGGAGTTAAGTTCACAGCCAATAACACAAAATCTGACTGCTGGAGCAAATCGTCTATCTTCTTACAGTAAACAGCTCCAACAGCACTTTCTTCTTCCTTTTTTCTGAAGGGAAAATCCCAAAATTAAACTGCAGTAGCAAGAAACAAGGGAAATATCAAATCACCAGTAGAGAAAATGTTTCTTTATTGTTATCTTTGCTGTGTAGTACTAAGCAGTTAGCTGCTTGTCTTAAAATCAGTAAAAATAAAGATCAAGCTATTTCCCACAATACCAAGTGAACTGTACACAAATGTGCAGTACTGTGGGGATGGAAAGTAAGAAATTAATATCACATAAATGCATTGAATAAATGATAAACCAAATGCATTTGTGTTACAATTTCTGCTGATAATGGGGATTCTTTTCCTACCCAAAAGCAAGAATGATATATTGTGAAAATTAAGTAATTTAAGTAAATCGTGAAAATCACTGAGGAAACACACAAGACAGGGCAGGGATTAAATCTTCCCAAATCTATGTCAGCAACAGCCTGATTGTGCTGTGCATCAGTGCTGATTCACTGAAACCACATGCTGCAGGACCTGGCATGCTGTATCAGGACGAGGTTGGCTGGCTCTCATCAAATTCCCACAAAAGAAAAGAATGGAATGGGCCTGACAGGAGCACAGGGGCACAGTCCACATACACCTCATCTAGAAGACAGCAAAGCAGACTGCCAAGTCTGGCCATTTATTGTCACATGGCTTTGGAAGGGTGAGGTATCTCTGTCTGAATCCCTGCCTCGCCTAAATCACAGGAGTTAAGTCCTCCCAGTTTTTTCCTTTCCAGTCCATTGCAATGTCACCACCGTGGCAGGAAGAAGTCAGGAGCCCCAGCTAATGGGGAGAACAGTGAGGTATATCTCTCCCATTCCTTCCTTCCTTCCTTTCTGTATAAATTGGGAAATTAATGATCATCTTGGAACAAGTGTATGTACTTTTCCACTTAAAATAAAGAATACTGTAAAAAATGAAAGCACAGTGAAAAGTATAAATAACAGATAAAAGCAGTGACAATACAGAGTTGCCTTGGAACTGCAACAAGCTTTACCTCTGATTTCTGTTGTGGTACAAAATCTTCATTTCAAAGGCTTTGGCTCTTTCAGCCACTTTGTAACCAATTTTCCCCATTCCTAGGATCCCCAGGGTTGCTCCAGAAACCTCAGCCCCCAGCCAGTCAGCAGGGAAATACTCTGTGTCAGGGGAGACTGCCATCTCATGGCCTTGTAAGAGCAAAAGAAGAATTATGTAATGTAAGGGATGTTCCAGCATCTGGTTACTTCCCCCCACAACACACACTTTTTATCGTAGGACTAGGCAGAAGCACAGGAGCAGTAATATATTGTCATTTTGTTTCCGGACAAGAAGTGAGTAATGCTGCACTGTACACAGGACTGCTGACACTGATTTCTTGCTCAGGAGAGAAACATAACCAGCCTCTCTTTGGCAAGAAAGGAAGCAAAGGAAGGTAAGGTCGAAGCAAAGGAAGGTAAGGTCAAAGCAGCAGTAAGGTCATCTGGTTCCCAGTCTACTTGCAGATACACCAAGGTTGGCAGAGAAAAGAGGACAGTGGGCAGATTTCTGGACAGCTTGTTCATAATTACTCAGATACATGGTAGCTTGGCAAAGACAAGCTTCAAACCTCCTTGAAAATATATTCTTTTAATCCCCTTTTATTGCAACTTGAAAAGCAAGACTGCAATAAACAAGTACAATGAATAAGTGGCTGTGGGCTGAGGGAGAAGAGGCCTGAATTTAGAGCTGTCCAAAGAAGGAACAATTCTACCTTACCAATATGCCAGTTTGGAAATAGGATGCCAATTATTGTCAACAAGACAGATTTGTCTTAACTTCTTCCTTTTCCCCAATTTCCCGTATTTCTAGTGTTAAGCTTACTTTTGCATCAGCACACATTTTCTGCATGTTTTGAAATCATCTTTTCTATGAAAAGCTAAGACCATATAAGTTATTACCTTCCACAAGTCTCCTGGAAGATGCCAGCAACAAAGCCATCCCCATGTCTGCAGTGTCAGTGGAAACAATAAATGGAGTATTGGATACCTTCACACCATAGCTGGAGAGGAGTTTCAGGTCCAAGTGATCTATTCCCATTCCAGCACTTGCAACTACCTTCAAGTTAGGCAAGTTCTGGAGCAGCTCTTCATTAATAGCTGGTTTGTGATACCATATATAGATCGCTCTGATCTTTTTGCTGAGAAATGTCTTATTTTCAAGATATTCTTTAATGGTGATGAGATGAAAACGTTTCTTCAGAAATCCGAGATGGTCTTCGTATACTCCAAGTCTCCCTCCTATAGAGTCAACTAGCACATAAGGCAGTTCCTGACCCTCCATGCCCTACAAAAGCAAAGAGAACCAAAAGGACATGATCTGAAGTGATCCATTACACATTTTTTCCTAAAAACTAGGAATTGATTGGGTCAATTACATGCTGTTTTCCCACTTGATGAAGGATTGGCTAAAGATAACTACTCCCACATGCAGTAGTCTTTTGGCTTCTCCATATGTTATTCAGAAGGATGTTCAATTTCAATATAATGTTGATAATAAGAAAACATTTCTGGCATACCAAGTATGCTAACACTTAAACAAATGAGCAAATAGTTGTTACTCCTGTTCAATGTTCAATATTTAAAGCCATAATTTAAGAATGTGAGTGAAAAGATATCTTTTAGTCTGCAAGTTCTGACACTTACACAATTATATTAAGCAATTATCATTGATGAGATTATCTGAGTAAAAATCTCATTTAATGTAACAGAACTATAAATTGTCAACTATGAACTTTGGAGTTACCCACGAACATGAGTTTTACCTTTTCTTTCTTCCGTCCCCTTGAGTTCTTTGCCAGCTCTCCACTCTGCTGACTCTGCAAAGAGCCAAGGTTGTGATCTCAGGTTAAAGCCGAGACGCCCTCATGCCGCCCCTTTAGTCGGAGGCAATGCTCCCGCATCGCTCCGGCACCGCCGGGCCGGCTCCCCCTTCTGTGCTCCGCCGGAGTGGTGTCCCGGGAAGTTCTCCCTGCCCCGGGCGGGCTGAGCGTTTTCCGCTGTCCCGGCGGGCCTAGGGCTGGGACTAAAGATAAGAGGGAGCTGGAGCGGCGGCCGCGGGCTCTATCCAGCCCCGAAGGAGGGCTGAGCACGGGCGAGATTCCTCCCGCTCCAGCCCGGGCGGGGCACGCAGGCCCCCGGGAGCCCCCGTTCCCCCACGCCCGGCGCTACCCCCGGAGCCGCCGCCCGTGGGCGCGGAGCCCCGTCCCCGCCCGGCACGGGGGTCCCGCGGCGCCGCCCGCACTCACCCCGCCGGCCGGCCGCCCCAGTGGCACCGCAGGGGCGGAGCGGCAGCGGCCGCCGAGGCGGGCACTGCCCGGCCGCCCGCACCCCGCCCGGACAGCCCGCGGGGCCGCGGGGGAGGAGAGGCGGTGCCAGGGCACGGTGCCCCAATCCCTCGGGGAGCCGAGAGACAGCGCGGGGAGCTCACGAGTGAGTGTTTTTGTAGAAGTGTTTTTGTGCTGTTCGTGACTTCAGTACAGCCGGGATTTTGCATTATCGTCCTGCACGCTGTGTTTTCCATACTGTCTTTGAAACCCGGTCGTGGTCTGGCCTTTCTGCTGACCATTATAGTCTGTGCACATGAATTAACATAAGATGAAGAGTTGTCTCTGACCGACAGACACCAGTGACAATTCACTGCACACGTGAAGGTCTTTTCCAATCTTTATGATTCTAGGAATACCCTCAAAAGCTCTCTTTGAGAGCTAAGCAGCTGGGGCAGGCTCAATCGCTTGGACATCTGAGATGTTATCCCAGATACAGGCAGTCATGTACCAATTTCAGCTGAGAATATGTGAGATTTTTTTCTGAGAAGGTTATTTGGTCTGTATCATAGAATCACAGAATAGTTTGGGTTGGAATGGACTTTAAAGCCCATCTATTTTCAAACCCCCTCTCACTAGACCGTGTTGCTCAGAGCCCCACTAACCTGGTCTTGAACATTGGTAGGGCTGGGGCATCTACAACTTCTCTGCTCAACCTGTTCCATTGCCTCATTATCCTCAAAAAGGACAATTTCTTCCTAATCTTCTCCATTCTACTACCTAATCTAAACCTACTCTCTTTCAATTTAAGGCCATTCCCCTTGACCTATCACTGTTTGTAAAGAGTCCCTCTCCAGCTCTCTTTAGGTACTGTAAGATTGCTATAAGGTCTTCTCTGAGCCTTCTCTTCTCCAGGCTGAACAATGCCAACTCTCCCATTGTCTTCATAGCAGATGTGCTCCATTCCTGTCATAATTTAGTGGCCGTCTCTGGACCCACTTCAATTCATATCTTTCTTGTGCTGAAGACCCCAGGGCTGGATGCAACAATCCAGGTGGGATCCCACGAGAGTAGAGTAGAGGGGAAGAATCACCTCCCTTGATCTCCATACCCAGTGATGTGGACTGGGAAGTACAGCTTCAGTTCTCAATTCACAACAGCTGTACTAAAGTGTTTCCCCTTGCTGTGCAGGTGGTCATAATCCACTGGGGAGGATGCCTGGTTCCTAGAGTCACAGCAGCTCAGGAGCCAGGACACACCACTGCTGTGGGCATCCAGGGATCTTTCTCCTTTCACACTATAGAATAACCAGCCATAGGGTCCTGCTATGTCTCTCGTGACTACTGTTGTGCTTTTCAAAAGAATGGATTACAAAGTGTTGTCATCTTGAATTCTATCAAGCACACTTTGATATGCTGAACATAAAGACAGTCAAGTTTAACACCAATCCTCTACACAATTTCTATTTATAAAATAAAATATAATAAAAATTCATATCAATTACACAAAACCATAAACTACTCTTGTTATCCTGGTGATGATTTTTGAGTATTATTTTCTTACATTAATTTCAAGTTCAAACAGTTAAATTTTAAAGCAAAAATTAATTAACTAGCAATATGGAGTTACAGAATGTTAACTGGATTCTTAGTTAAGTTTACTTGCATTTTCTTCCTTAAAAAAAAAAAAAAAAAACAGCAAATATAGCATGATTACACATTACCTCTTTCACATCAAAAGTTTCCAAACTGTGTTGGTGATAAGATTGTAATGAATAATCTTTTAACTTACTGCTCACCTGAGATTGAAGGATCCTTGTAAAGTCCCTCTCAAAGACACGAATCTGAGGAAGGAGGCCTACCACATTTTAGTCTTGAAGGTAAAGAAAAACCTTTGGAAGGGCAACACAGTAGTTTTTACCTTTGTATATCAAATCCACAAATTTGAATGAACAAAACAAAGGAGAAATTAGTCAGAGAGCCAAAAAAATAATAATCAAAGGACTGTTACTCCAAGCAAAAATCCAGGACATAGGTATCAAACGTCAAGAAAATGCGTGTGTTATGTGGTTAGATGTGAAGAAAAATCAGATGTTTTCATAGCTGTTTTTGCACCTTGAACATCCCATTTTCAAGCTATAGGTCAGGAGCTGATACAGCTCTAAAGAAGTTATATCTGTTTAGCATCATATGTGAAAATAAGATGTCAGTTGGACCAGTGCACTATCATGTTTTAAGTATATTTAGTTTGTAGACCACCTTATAGACCTCCATGTAGTGTGTTAAGCTGAATTTCACTGTGTGTACATCGTTGCTGTCTGGAAGTTTTCTCTTACAGAAAGGGCTCTCATATACCAGCACTGTACAGAGCACTGAAATAAGTGAGGGTGAGCTGATGCCTGCAGTGTTAATAAGGTGCTTGCATAATAGTTGTTTCTTAGCATTAGGCTTTGAAGTATTGCGTTACCCTAAAAGACTTTTGTACAATGTAATGCATACATTTCTCAGGTGGGTTGTACAGAATAGCTTAAGCATGGATCTGGATAAAGGCATACATTTCCTATGTCCACATTAAGTTTTATAAGGCAGTATTATATTACAGGCAAAAAAAAAGCCAAGGCAGGAAATTTTCAGGCAAGGCCAAACTAAATGATGCATTTGTTTTCAGTGACTATAAACTATCATTAAGTGTTATTTGGTATCAGCCTGTCTAGTTGCTGTAGGTAAGGCCAGCTTTCCCAGTAGACCTCTGTATCAGCACTTTATTCCAGATCATGTACTTTTTGCACATCAAAATATTTCAAAAAACCTGAATCAATGGAGTGAACTATAATGGATCATTTTTTCTCTCATGTGGCCACTGCATTTTTGGATCCACTTTCAGTAATCATGAGATTGAAGGTATTATGTGTAAACCAATTCATTACTCCAGTGACTGACAGGCAGATGTGTCTCCCCTTCTGAAGTGTCCCACTGGGAGGGAGCACTTCTGAAATGAATCAGCCTAGATTCTTGAAATATCTGCAGATGTAGCAAAAGCCAAGCATGTACAATTGTTCAATTGTTTAAATAGATGTGAAGTACTGTATCTGATTTTGTTTACTTCTTCACTTCTTGAGAAAAATTTGCATGTTCAAAAGCCTTGTGTGTTTTTTGCAGTTTTAGGATATTGATCTAAGAAAAGGCATTTTTTTCTCTTTTCTCTTTTATTGTATAGCAACCTTGTTTTTCAGCTCTGTAATTTATTGCTTAGCCTTTTATTTTTTAATAAATTTAACTTATTTTTTCAAGATTATGTACTGGGAACCTGTACCTCGGAGAGCAGGGAGGTTCCTGGGGCAGTCTTGAAATTCTTGACAGCCAATTTGCTGTTCCTGAAAAGCTGCAATGTCTTGTTTCCTGGAACTGCAAGAGTTGGTAACATTATAGTACATTAAAGTGATGGTACTAAGCGTATTTTGGCCAGCACCCGTGACAACCACCTGCAAGACAAAGGATCTGTAAAGATCCATAAGGCTCCAGGCAAAATCCTGTCTGCACTTAATGGCAACTTTGCTGTGAATTTTATGGGTAAATAATCATGCTATTCATAAAGTCACACTACATAACAAAAGGCATAGCATTGCCGCTTTGGGTGTTGGTTTACTTGCCTTTTGGACTTGTATTAGGCAACAGAAACTATATAAACACAACTGACATGATGGCAAACTGTTTCCTTTCAAGCTTTAGTGAAGTGTATGGGCATTCTTGTATTTAAAAAGATATTTAGAGCTTATGTGGAGGGGAAAGATAAGAACAAAAAGAGAAAGAGAAGAATAAAAAGATGTGCAATATCCTTCCACACATCAGCTAGGGAGCACTTCACTGGGTAGGGGGAGACCATTCAGGGCTGCTAGTATGTTTTCAACTCCTTCCTCTGTTATCATGTAGGTGGCCTTGTCTGTTTTAATGCCAAGGTGAGGTGTTATTATGACGTTCTTTAATTTTAACAATGCATGATCTCTGGAAGAAAAGAAAAAATAGTTAACTACTGTTGTTCATCTAAATGAAGAGGAGTCTTACTTTAGCTTTTGTGCTGTATTTTAAGTCAATTTGGTACAACTTTACAAGTCCCACTTAGACACAGAAAATCTGAGCACCTATATTGAAGTAATTTTGGACTGTAATAGGATATGCAAAGACTTCATAGTAGCTCTTCTTTCCAGAAACACACTTCTGCCATGAGGCAGCAATTTGCACTATGCCAGAAGAGAGGATTAAACCTTTCTGCCACATTCACCTTACACAATAGTCTGAGCTGTAGTTATTTGCACACAGGAACAATACCAAACTTCCCACAACCCAAAATGCAGCCAGCACAGTTAACTCCAAAAAGCACCATCCTGGTAGAGTGGTCTTTTTAGAGAAGCTAAGCAGTCTATGGGCTCAAGACGTTTACAGTAGTTCAGCCTTGTATTGTGGAAAGAAGCCTGTGAAGAAGGACACCTCCTGGCTATGCAGCAAGTTTTAGGCCTTGTGAAAAATGCATATTTTATGATTGGCTTTTTGCAAATATTACTGTTATGTGTAATAAATATAATTCGCGCCATTCCTTGTATGAAATATGTAATATTGGATACTTGTTAAATCATGCCAGTTGTATTAGTTTCCCCCCCCCCCCCCCCCCCCCCCCCCCTCCTTTGCAGGTGAGACTGAGTGTATATTGGAAACTGATTTACAAGTGAAAGGGAGATGGGCCATCATCGGTCCTGATCGTCCGAGATGGATATCATGGAAATCCTCAGACAGATCCATGTGAATGAAGCCTTCCCGTAAACTCCCAACAAGAATTCACCTACTCTGGACATTGAATTATTTCTCCTCATCACCAAAAAAGAAATTCTTATTAACCTATGGACTCTGAATAGAAGAAAGGACTGATTGCTAAAATCTTGGCCTCAGACGGAATTTTCCCTATAAAAACCGCTTGTGCCAGGATGGAAGTGTGTGGGCATAGGAGAAAACCTCTGCTGAGGCTGACTCCTTGTTGCACACCCAGGGCCAACCCCGGGCTCGGCTCTGTTCTTTCCTTGTGGCTGGCTAGATAGAATTTGACCGCTAATAAAATTATTTTTATTTTTAATCTGGCTGAATAAATTCTCATTTATAATAATTACAATGAATATTATATGTGTAATGTTAGAAAGTTATGCTGTATTAATTCTCTCACGCAGTGTGTTAAATATAGTTTTAGGTTCCAACATAATGTTAAAATAAAGACTATGTATGTGGGGGAAGTTTTTTTTTAGGAATGAGATACTCCTTCGAGGAACACCTAAATCTTCCAAAGGAGAGGAATTTATGGATTCTTATCAGAAGAAGCTAATTTCTTCAGGCCTTGTTCAGACTCCAAGATGCCACGGGATTAAAGGAAACAGTTGACATACAACAGACACAGTTTCCTGTTTAGAATAGAATGTATGCATAACCATGAAGGATGTATGAATATGCAACAAGTGTATTGGTTTAAGGGTGATTCCTTTGTTCACAAGTTATGCTTTTTGTGACTTAGCGTCCGAGAGCATCCGGACGTCCATAATTCTTTGCTTTTTATTTTCTTGTAATTGTCCTAACTCTAAACTTTATTACTCTAATTTTTATAACCATTTTATTATTATTAAACTTTTACAATTTTAAAAATCAAGTGATTGGCGTTTTTCACAGGCCTCAAGCAGCTTCCACCCATTAAAATTGGCAAGCTGCACTTTCTAATAAAGCAATTTGCAAGTCAAGCTCTGCTGCAACTGCACGGGGTGATTCTAAGGATTTGGTTTAAATGCTTTCCCTACCTCCTGCTGTTTCCTGGCTTCCCTTTGGTCTGTTCCCAGCCCCTAGTCTAGGCTGGACCCCATTCACATTCATGGCATTTTTATCCAAACTCCTGCCAGGGGCAGAGGGGCCAGCTCCCTGCCTGCTGCAGGGATGCCTCTGGCCTCAGCAGGGCTCTCCCATCCTTCCCAACAAATAAGCAGAGATGGCAACCTGGGCAGTGGTTCTGGGGAGGTGACATCCAAAGCCCTGATAACACCAGTCTACACAGTGGCCACCAGTGCCTCTTGGTCAGCTACTGCACCTGGTGTGGAATTAGAGTGTCTCTGAGTGCACCTGGCAGGTAAAGAGCAGAGAGCAAAGAGAGAAGGGAAGGGGAAAGGGAAGAATTTCTGCCATGCCTGATCATCCTCGCCATGTGCCCCAGCTGTGCTGGATGCAGCACGGTGCTGTGGAATGCAGCAAGACCAGGCTGGATGGTATCTTCAGCTGATGTTAATGAGGGTATCTGTGGGTCTCATCAGCTCCAGCTCTCTTTTCCTGATCAGCTTGTGTGTCTGAGGTGTCAGGCTCACTACAAGCATCACAAAATCTGCCTGCTGGAACAAGCTGTCTATCTTTTTGCAGTAAGTGGCACTGACAGCTTGCTCCTCTTGCCCCTGACTAGTGGGGAAAAAACCATTTCAGTTATGGAAACATTTTCTTCAATGATATCACCAGTATACAAACAAACTAAAGGATCTGATTTTCACATCCATATAGCAAACATGTGGCAAACAAAGGTGAATTTACCCTCAGCTCAGTGTTTAGATCCTTCTGGAGAGCTTCAAGTCTTACAGCACAGGATAAATTGCACTCCTGTCTATCAGCCATTCCAGTGCAGGATTCCAAGGGCTTCTTATGAAGTCTACAAATGAACTAAGTTTGACCACTGAAGCAGACAGCAGCATACAGTCCATTCTCCAGGATCCTCTGTGCACCTCAAAGGATGCAGTCACTGCTCAAACCAGAGGAGTGGTATTCACCAGAACTCACCCATGCGCGCTCTGCAGTGATCCTCATCCTGTTGGCACTCCCAGTAAGCCTGTCATTTTTTTATGAATTAAATCAGCAAGGTAGCTCTTTGCCAGGCTCCTGGCTGCCTCAGGACTTTCATAGAGTAAAGTGTTCAGCAGAAAAATTTACCAGAGTAGAGAGATTTTTAGTTTTAACTTCTCACAGTGCAAAAAAATACTTGCCATTTCTCACAGTTTTTGTAAATTTAGCTATCTGAACTTTGGGGATTAAAGAAGCAATGTCAGGAGATCATGTGTACAATCATCTGCTTCTGGTTTCAAGAGAATGGCTTTAAGTTATCTCCTCCCTAATCTAGGAATAAAGAAGTCACACTAAGAAAATAACTTCAATTTAACTTTGACCCATGTCTCTCCTAACAAATGCACTTCACAGTTTTTTATCAGGCCAATGACCACAGAATAAGTGGAAAAAGAACAGAAGAGAACTGTTGCCAGTTTTGCAGCATGCAGAGTGCACCTTGATTCAGCACACAAGCTGGAAATGTAAATGTACTTTAAATATACCTTAGGCTTTTGATTTCTCTTGCACTATGCATTGATAATTCATCACAGCACTCTTATGAAGTGATATGCAGAATAAATAAATAGACTCCACAACTTGGGGTAATTATGAAGTGGATATGTATTGCCAGCACTCGACACAAGTGAGATCGCTCTCCAAGACTTGTGCACTGAGCCTTAGTCTGACCCAAACCTTAATTCATAAAGGTGTTCCATATGCAGTACATTGCACAACTTTTCCATGCATATTCAACCCCTGGCCCCGCCTGTCCTTGCCTCTCATGCTAAATAGGTCCACGTCCTTCTGGGCACACGCAGTGTGTTTGCCCATAGCAAACTGCTATGGTGGTCCTGTGGGGGTCTCTGGTGGTCTCTTGAGGCTGAAGATCGCGGTCTTCTTCATGGTTGAACTTTTGAACTTTTCTCCTTTTTGTGTGCGTATTTGGTTCTTTGGTGCTTATCCGAGTACCATCTGTCAGTCTCAGTAGGCTTAGGGACAGAGGAGCCTCTTTATCTGGGTTCTTTGCATCTTCAGTCCTTTCTGGTATTGTTCTGTATGCAAGAAGCTTCAGAAATTTGCATCTTCTTACGCCCTTTTGTACCTTGGCAGAGGTTTCTTAAGTAAAAGGTTAAAATTCAATACATAACTTTACAAGCTAGACTATAAATGCTTAATTCATTTTGTTAACTTAAGTAAACTCCAAGAATCTCCGTTTCACTTACATAAATATTACTTTAAAGACTGAAAAATATTAAGCAGAGGGAGTTGAGGGTGATGAACATTAAAAAAATGAATAAAGGGATTTGTTTCTTTTAAATATTTTTTTTTGTGGTCTGTTAAGAAATTCTCAAATATCTTAAGGAGTACTTTCTTTTAAACATAAGTTTGCTGAGCTGTTTTTCTGAAGAAACAGAAATGCCAGGTATGGCTAAAAATTCCTGGCCTCATTCAGCCTTGTGATTTGCCTACAGCTAACTAAAGCAGTGACCCTCCTTCTGCAGTCTGCTTATGGGGAAAATCCCTGAAAGCCACATCCTAGCACTGCAGCTTCTCCCTCCAGTCCCAGAAGAGTAAAATTCTCTCAGGGTAAATCACAGTTTATAGCAGTAAATGTTTGTTCTGCTCATTATCTGCACCTTGGCTGATTGCAAAGGCCTCAAGTTGTTCATGGGGGTCTTGCTCACTTTAAATTGAAGAGCCCCTGTGCTGAATGTCTAACAAGGTTCAGATTTCCAGATACACAACCTAGGAGGGACTAGAAATAAAGGGTGAAATTCAGTTAAATACTTGCTAAAATTCCTACTGGCTTGAGAAAAAACAAGGTTTTCTTAAGAACAGCTCTCAGTCATATTTTGCCAAGTATATGCTTCCTAGTTTCCAGCCACTATTTCCAAAATATCCCTCTTGAACTTCAAAATATGGGGGGAAAAATTAACAGAGTTATGTTGTCACTATAGTACAATGTGATAAGAATAAAAAAGCATAAGCTTGATTTCGATTTTTCCACAGAAAAAGTTGAAATTTCTAATATAAAACCTAAATTAAGTTTCGAAGTGTTTAATCACTGAGTAACTCTTTACAGGTCTGATTTCAGGCAATCGTTCTTTTTTATTTTCTTTTGTTTTAATCTTGGCCCTATTCCCTCATTTCTTGCTATATTTCTGACTTAATTCCTTGAAAAGAAAATGCTGGCTATCTGGAAGAATTCCTGCTGCAACTAGGGTCAAGATATATGTTTACCTCTGTGTCCTGTTGTGGTACAAAATGTTCATTTCAAATGCTTTGGCTCTCACAGCAATCTTATACCCAATGTTGCCCATGCCAACTATCTCCAGAGTAGCTCCAGCAACTTTAACTCCCAGAATATCAGCTTCACAGTAGTCCATACCTGGGGAAGTTGAAATGTTATGGACTCTAAAAAAACACAAAAATATGAGAAATCAATGGAATCCAACATGGAGGAACAAGGCAAAAGAGTCTGGACTTGTGCTACTATAGCACACTTCTAATGGTTACAAACACCAATGTAATGTCCTAGGTAATGCCCTAAAGTACCATTACTCCTGTTACATATATATATATATATCATATTCCAATTTATTCTCACCATTCTCCAAAAAGCCTTTTGATATAATCCCTCCAAAAATTTTATTACTGCTTTAGACTCATGAAAATATTGCCCTGTTCCTCATCAACAATGATGAAGAATACATCATGAGGAATACATCAATGATGACGGAAACAAAATAATCATTGCCAATAAAAATGCAGAGTTTGAAGATGTCATGTGGAGAACACCACCAAATATTGGTTTTCCTCTTCACATCTGCCAATCTCCTTGGAAAGGAAAGTGTGACTTCTTTAAAAATCACAACTTGGTAATTTCTGTAATTACCTATTAAACCTGCACAATTCTGGATAGTTCTACAACACATAAAATACAGTTATATACACAGTGTCAGCACTTCTAGCAAGGTGACAGCCTTTTGATATTTCAATCTTCTGATATTGCCAGCTTCTTTAAAACACAATATTGTGAAAACACAATAAAACACAATATTCTGAAAAGATACAAAAAATTACTCAGGAAAAAACTCAGTCTATCAGAAAACTCAGAGCTATCAGAAATGCCACCAGGGATGGTTTAAGTAGATAGGAACAAGAAATTAATCTTCCTTTTAAACTGTCTCACTTTTGTGAGGTAGAAACAGAGGGATGCAAATCCCCTCTGAGTTTCTCTGAATCCTGTGGTACAGATGGCAAGTCAAAATCAGGTAAATATAAAAGGATAATTCTGAAGGATTTTTTCCTGAAGAAGGAGGCTTTCTAACTAAGCCAAGGGTAGGTCTATTTGGCAAAATAGCAAGAAAAAATTGTTGATGAAACTAAAAAGGATACTATTAAAAAAACCTGGAGTAGGCTGCCTCTATTATTACTCTCTAATGCCCCTTAAATGCCCCAATTCTGCACCAATACATTTCAGTCTCCAAGAATATGCCCATGCCTCTATCAGCCTTGTGGATTCCTTCCAACTCAGGAT